TATATATATATATATGTATATATATATATATATATATATGTAATTACGGAAGTTCGTTATACTTAATATTAAGATACATCTGTACAGCATGATTGTCTGCATTTATTCTTTGAAGCCTTTTTTCTCCAATGTGCAAATCGTATCAAAATTGTAATAAAGCAAATATTAAGCACATGCAGACAGTTGGTCAACACATCTCACGAAGCTTATAAACAAATCATCTTTAGAAAGCCTCTACTTGAAGTTTTATGTGTATTGCTTTGTACCTGTGAACCTCGCCTAGATTACTAGGTCACTAGTATTCTAGCCGGTCCCAAGTCCGGATAAAGAGGGAGGGTTGGGGCGTGGTGCTAGCAACTCCACCCCCAAAACTTAACCAAATTGCTACTAAAACTTCAACGCACAAATATATTAAAAATTCTAAAATTACAAATAGTGACCTTATTTTTCGCTGGAATCGGGGAAGTGAAATGACGCGGGCTGGTGAAAGCCTTCGGGAAGCCAGTCAGCCGATGTGCCTTCTTTCGATGAAAGCGAAAATAAGGATGGGGACGTGGAATGTTCGTACAATGTACGAAGCTGGGAAGGCTGCTCAGGTAGCCGCAGAAATGAGGAGATATAAAATAGAAGTGCTGGGAATCTGCGAGAGCAGATGGAACGGATGTGGAAGGAGCCAACTATCAACTGGAGAGACAATAATCTACTCCGGTCACCCAGAGGACAATCACGAGCACACCGAGGGAGTAGCCATCATGATGTCACCAACAGCGGCTAAAGCTCTCATGCAGTGGGAACCAATCTCCTCCAGGATAATGACAGCCAGGTTCAACTCAAAAGGAAAAAAGGTTACAATCATTCAGTGCTACGCACCTACAAACGTCTCAGAAAAAGAGAAGAAGGAGGATTTCTACAGTCAACTACAAACAGTAATGGACAACGTCCCAAAGAGCGATATCAAAATCCTGATGGGCGACATGAATGCGAAACTGGGAGGAGACAATACAGGAAGAGAACTCACCATGGGTCGTGAGGCCCTCGGTGAAATGAACGACAACGGTGAACTCTTCTCAGACTTCTGCGCCTTCAATGATTTGGTGATTGGTGGCAGTGTGTTCAAACACAGGGATATACACAAGGCAACATGGATTTCACCAGATGGACACACCAAAAACCAGATAGACTTCATTTCAATCTCAAGGAAGTGGAGACGGAGCCTACTGGACACAAGATCGAGGAGAGGAGCGGATGTGGGTTCAGACCACTATCTAGTACAAGGGACTTTCAAGGTGGAGCTGAAAGCCTCGAGGATACCTGGGGATAGGCCACAATGCAAGTTCAACACTCACAAACTGAAGGACACAATCACACAGGACATTTTCACTGCAACTGTCAGAGCAAAGCAGGAAGCACTACGTGACACCACTGAGGAATCATCCGTGGAGGACCATTGGAACTCTCTGAAGGTAATTTTCAACGAAACGTGCTCAACGGTTTTAGGAAGAAAGAAGAAACAAGACAAGGAATGGCTCTCAACAGACACTTGGAAGCTAATAGAGGAGAGGAGAAAGGTGAAAGAAAAAATGATTCAATGCAAAGATGGACAAGAGAAAGAGACGCTAAGCTCAACTTACACAGCACTGGATAAAGAAGTGAAGAAGAGTGCCAGGAAGGACAAAAGACAATTCTACGACAACCTGGCTACTGAAGCTGAGAAGGCAGCAGGCAAAAGGGAACTGAGGACACTATATCAGATAACCAAGTCTCTATCCGGGAAGAGATCAACACAAGTGAAACCTATAAAAGACAGCCAAGGAAACCCAATTACCAAAGAAGAAAGACAGATTAAACAATGGGCGGACCACTTCAAAGGACTCTTGAATCGACCACCACCTACAACCCGTCCAGTAATACCAACAACAGCACGTACACAACTGCAAGTTGACACCAATCCTCCAACGAAAACTGAAGTCATGAATGCAATCAAGCTTCTGAAAGCTGGAAAAGCAGCTGGACCAGATGGAATACCCCCTGAAGCACTGAAAGCAGACCCAGAAACGACGGCAGATATGCTGACTCCATTATTGCAAAAGATCTGGAAAGAGGGAAAGGTGCCTACTGACTGGAGGAAAGGTTACCTGGTGAAACTACCAAAGAAGGGCGACCTGGGACTCTGCAAGAACTGGCGAGGAATCATGCTCCTGTCGACGCCAAGTAAAATCCTGAGTCGCATCATCCTGGAGAGAATAAAGGACGCACTGGATACAGAACTCCGACCAGAACAAGCTGGATTCAGGAAAGGCAAATCATGTTCTGACCAAATTGCAACTCTACGCATTATCATCGAACAAAGCATGGAATGGCAATCAAATCTCTACCTCAACTTCATAGACTTTGAGAAGGCCTTCGACAGCGTTGACCGCAAAGTAATTTGGAAACTACTCGAGTACTACGGCGTACCCCAAATATTCATCAACCTTATTCAACAGCTGTACGACAACGGCACATGTCAAGTGATCCACAATGGAAAACTCAGCGAGGCGTTTGGAGTAAACACAGGAGTCAGACAAGGGTGCTTATTATCACCAATGATATTCCTAATTGTGGTGGACTGGATTATGCGTCAGACAGTGGGAAACGAGAAGACAGGGATATCCTGGACCGACGTGAAGAACCTAGAAGACCTGGATTTTGCGGATGATTTATGTTTGATGTCACACAAAATCGAAGACTTACAAGCGAAAACCGACAAACTGGTCGAAGAAGCAGCAAAGACAGGACTCCAGGTGAACATAGACAAGACGGAGGTCATGAAAATAACCAACCAACAACAGCAGCAGCAACATCCAGTGCCAATCACCATCAACGGGAGGGATTTGAAAGAGGTTACTTCTTTCACTTATCTGGGGAGCATTGTCTCAACCACAGGAGGAATAAACGAGGATGTCAAATTGAGAATCGGGAAGGCGAGAAACACATTCATCAACTTGAAACCAATCTGGAAATCTTCGTCACTCACCATCAACAACAAAATTCGGATTTTCAATACAAACGTGAAGTCAATTTTGCTTTACGGATCAGAAACTTGGCGAGTCACCAAGAATATTTTCAACAGGTTGCAGACCTTTATCAACAATTGTCTTCGCTCCATACTGAAGATAAGATGGCCAGAAAGAATCACAAACAAGAAGCTATGGGAACAAACGAAACAGGAACCAATCGCCCAACAAATATTCGAGAGAAAGTGGAGATGGATTGGACACTCGCTGAGGAGCCCGCTGGGTGACATCGCACGTCAGGCCCTCGAGTGGAACCCGAAAGGGAAGCGGTGAATGGGATTTCCAAGAGTGACATGGAGGAGATCGTGTGAAGAGGAACTGAAACAGTATGGGATAACATGGATGCAAGTGAAAAGTACAGCAGAAGACAGAAGCAAGTGGAGACGTGCAGTTGAAGCCCTATGTTCCACTAGGAACCCAAGGGAACAATAATAATAATAATTTGTACCTGTGAATGTTGTAAAGCATTTGGTGGTAAAGTACTCAGATAATCATTCCCTCAAAAACTTTTATTTTAGAGTTTAAGAATATTATTATTTCCTTTAATTCCTAGAGGAACATAGGGCTTCAGCCATGCGTCTCCATTGCGTTCGGTTCTCTGCTAGAGTTTTCACCTGGCTCCAGGTCTGCCTACATGCTTTCATCTCCTCTTCACATGATCTCCTCCAGGTCACCCTTGGACGACCAACTCGTCGCTTCCCTTTCGGGTTCCACTCGAGTGCTTGTCTAGTGATGTCACTTGCTGGTTTCCTCAGAGTGTGGCCAATCCATCTCCATTTCTTCCTGCCTATTTGTTTCACAATCGGTTCCTGGTTGGTTCGCTCCCAGAGATCTTTGTTGCTGATCCTTTCCGGCCATTTGATCTTGAGTAATGAGCGAAGACATCTGTTAATGAAGGTCTGTAGCTTGTTTGAGGTGCTCTTTGTGACACGCCAAGTCTCTGATCCGTATAGTAGTACTGACTTCACATTGGAGTTGAAAAACCCGATTTTATTTTTGACGCTGAATGATGTTGACCTCCACACAGACTTGAATATAATAATATAATATATATATAATATAAGAATATAATATTCAATATTATTGTGTCATATTTCTGTAAATTAGTTTATGAAAATTAAAGTCGGTTCATCCAAGTATTCCGTTGGTTAGAATTTCAAGAAAGGCTTCTATCTGTCATTTAAAGAAAAGTGAAAAAAGTGTTTTCAGTGAGTTGGTACTCACTAGAAAACTACTTGAAATTCCTGTGAAAACTGTAAGCCGTTTTAGAATTAGTTACAAAATGAACTATAAATGCTACCTCAAAAGATGATTTCCTGTGTAATATCGCTGAGTGAAGAAATCCTCCTTGATATCAGTTAGTTTTCAAGTAACCTCAGTCGATTCAAAATACGATCAATGAAGTCATCATCACCATAACAGTTATGGACATTATGAAGCATATTGTATCTACAAATTCAACTGCGCTTGTGAAGCGAGTTATATCGGCAGTTGCTCTAGGAACTTGATTTTTCGTGCTCGAGAATATCTCCCACTATGGATAAGTAAACGCGTAGTGAAAACCATTGACAGTTCGATATTGGACCATCTGGTGCAAACCGGCCGCAAAGCCAGCGTTGAAGAATCCGTCTCTATCATCTACCGGGTTCCTAATAAATTGCCAAAAATATTGAAACAACGCATGCTCAAAACAAGAGAGGCTATTGCAATTCGCCTCAAACAACCAATGTTCTGTGTGCAAAAGAAACAAGTCCACCCCTTACTACTCCCCTGGCCTCCAGGAGAGACTATAAATTCATGAATTTGTAATATTATCTTTCTTAATTTTTCTGACATTCAGCTTATTTTATGTTGATGCCATTGAACTCTAATCTATTAATATTATTGATTCACTGTTATTTAAACAACATTAATGTTGTTGATAACTCTAATTCATTCATTCACTGTAATGTATATATAACTCTAGAGCCTGATGATGAAGTTATCGAAAAGAGTATTCTTTGTTCAGTATTCATTCTTTTGTAAATTTTAATGGGCATTTTTAATCATTTAAAACATATTTCTACCGATACTCTTGTTACTAAGTCAATCAGTTTAATTTTTCATGCATTTATATGTATTAAGTGCAAAAGAAAATAGGACTTCAGTCCACAGCGAAATACATAATGACAAAATAGCAGTTAATTTGCGCGGTTTGTTTGAAAATTTTTAAACATGTTTACAAACAAGAGAAAAACAGTACAAGGAGTACTGACAACTTCAAAAATTACATGTTATCTTTAGTAGTATAAATAAACGAACAGAGTATCCGTTCAAAAAAATGTGTATACATTTTCTTAATATGTAACTGAAGTTGATCTTAAACTTTAAATCTTAGTGAGTATTCGTGGTAAAGTAGATAATATTACAGATATTAGATAAACAAACTGTGGTGAAAACTATGATAATTCATATAACAATTTATGGGTGTACGCAAAATTGCATAAATTAAGTTACATAACCTCATCGTAACCATGGTGAAACTGTTTGTGGTGAGAATAAATCATTTTCACTTTCAAGTGGTAACTTTTCTTCTGCTTTAGATATCTGCATAAGTGGTCTAAAATGCATAGAATCTTTAGAATATTCAAGTACAACTGATCTAACTGGATACAAATTGTTGTTATGACTAGTACCCTTTGAGTACTTGCTTTCTGAATGTTTATTTGATGCACCTTGACTTCGACGTACTAACATACGACGACCTGAATGTTTCTCGCGTGAATTACTGTTCGACAACTTAGAAGGTGGAAATACGCGAGCCGTTGAACGTACGTGGGTTTTGTTTAATGGTGTAGGTGATGATGAATAGAAGTGATTGTTTAAATGAGTTGGTTGGTTTTGTTTCATCATCAAACGAGATCGTCTAGTAGGTGGTGATTTAACATGATGAAGTGGATTTGGTATATTAGGTTTCATACCAGTTGGTGCTAACTTCTCCGTTATTGGTAGTTTACATAATTGCGAAGCTGGACGTCTCATAGCTTTCAGCGCACGCTTAAGTCCTAAATTTGAACGACTGATGCGTGACAAATATTCAACCTAGACAATAAACAAAATAAATAAATAAATTTTATGTTGGAAACATTTCACGATTGCTATTTGTGAATAAAAAATTCTGATATTACTAGAATAAAGCTTACCAGTGAAGATACATAAATTCGTTTCACAATGCACAGACTTTTGATGAACATTATTCTCAATCACTATGACTATACCTTTCTAGAACGTGTAATGTACTTACACAACACATTTCGGGCATTCTGATCACGCACCCACTTGTCATACATATTAATATGAAAGGCAACAGATCACAAAGAATTACAATTTTAATCAATATAGATTAAAGTGTTTACGGGTCACGATAACCCATAAAAGGGGGGAAGATGAGGCAAGAAAAAAGGGCAGTGAAAGTAGTACCCACTAAAGTTAACCTTGAAATAATTCGGTGGATGGTGACTAGCAGTGGAATCCAGGATGCACACTTCGTACCGTTTGAGACTCGTCATCTAAATGTGCCTGCATCCCTAGTGAGTGACAGTGTTCCTACTGAGGTTGGAACCCATTACCCATAATTTCAAACACGAAAACTTTATCCGCTATACCACTTGGGCCACGAGAGCCATCTGTTGTGCAATAGATATCAGATTATTACTTGTTTCCAATTCGATTTTGATTTCTCCTGTTGACCGACTCAACCGAAGTGTTCGGCCTCAGACACCGTCCAAGAGTCAACAGAGGCCGAACACTTCACCGCAATCAATCAACAGGAAAATCAACATTGAATTAAAAATTATAGTAAAATGAACCTTGGTTCTAAAATTGCATTATCAAGGCAAGTTCAGACTGATGACAATAATTTTAAACAAATAAAAGGGGTTTAAGCATTTTTATCTCTAAGGCTTTGACTAAATCAAGTATGTGACCCAGATCTGTTTTATATGTGGGTTTAAAGGTGTCACTGAAATCAACTTTATCACCCATCTTTATGATGTACTTTGTGATAGATGGTGTTGGACATGTACTTCTGGGATTAATTGTATCAGGTGATTTTATTTATTCTTGCAGCCACTTAGGAATGTGTCTTGTAGCCTTTACCTGCAGAGATCTATGGGTCCTGTCTGAGTACTCGTGACCACACATGCAAATTGGACTTAATCTCCCTACTTTTCATCCGTTATCGTGACCTGTAAATACTTTGATCTATATTGATCATTATCATAATCCTTTATGATCTGTTGCCTTTTTTATGAATATGTATGAAAGGTGGATGTGTGATCAGAATGCCCAAAATGTATTGGGCATGTTGCGCATTACACGTTTCAGATAAATAACTTATTCTTATTGTTTTTTCAAAATTCATAGAGGGAATTAATTACCTGAATTATATTTAATTTGTAACTGCTATATGGGTGAAATAATTTTGTCTTGTCTAATTACATGTATTCTTCACCAAAAAGGTTTCGTCCAGGTGATTCTTCAGGCTAAAATGTTAAATTTACTTTGATTTCATTAAAAAGTGGCTTGTGTGCAGATTCTAACCATTTATTTCCCTTTTCTGACTTTGGTTGTGGTGTTATTAGTGAAAACACTCGTATTACTTATATGAGTTCTCATGAATTTCTGGAGAAATTTTAAGAGTTATTAAGTAAAATGGATTGTCCCAATTAAATACTTCATTTATCTGTTGAGAATATTGGGCTCATCAATTAGATTTTCAGCTTGGTGATTGAAATGTTGCACTACTTGTTTTAACTTATTTATGTCAACATTTAATGTCAGCTAAAAGAGATTGATTTCCTGCTGGAATAATATACACATGGTCAACGCATAACAACTTAATTTTTTAATGTAATATTGATAATTCTACTTTTAATTTTCTGATTCACCTCTAACCTGGGCAAAAAAATTGTAGCTATGTTCTTTTATTAATAAGTTAAATGTTGCATTTACGTATCTCTAATACAACCTAGTGGTAGGACAGTATATCTATTCAAGTAAAATCCACTTGTATCTGCCATTTCAGATATATTCTAGGTGAGAAGGAAAATGATCAGGCATCTGGTGATTCAAGATTATGCTAGGCACTATTTGAATCCTTAGCATGCTACCACATGGATAATTCAGTAATAATTAATGATGTTGTTTTGAATACTTTTGTGGTTTTTTATCCTATCTCAACTTAACTAGTAGATGTAAAACAATTACGGATCCAATATTGGCTTTATGTAGATCATCTTTCGGTATCGCTTGTCAGATTTTCTCATAAATTAATATGGGAGCAGGATTAGGATTAATCTGGTGGAGTATTATTTCATTATAGATAACTTTATGTATGGCATTAAATATAGTAATACAGTATTAATACTTGGATGGCGGTCTGAGCAAAATTTATTATATCAACTCTATTGACAAATAATGAGCAAAGAATATCCTTTCCGATAAATTCCTCTTCTGGCTCTACAATTATATATATATGTTTATATACATAGAATATTCTAGATTAGTAGTCAATAACAATATTAGTGTTTTTTAAATAATATCGATTTGTAAAGTAAGATCAATGCAATTACAGTTCATTAAAGATGCTTAAATAATAATAATAATAAAGATTAGTAGCAAATAGAATATCAACTAAAATTAGGAAAATTCCACAAAAATTCAGGATCATTCAAACTCTCATAACATATGAAGATTGATATGATATGGATATGATTAAGAGCAATAAATTTTGCTTAAAGCGTCATCCACTTATTAATGCCGTACAACTATTTCACAGCAAATAAATTTCCTAATTGTTCTTAATAAATCCTATAAGTGTTGTGAATTAAGGATGAGGACAAAAAAGTATAGAGTGGGTCACCGAATATGTAGTAAGTGCATAGCAAATTCTACGAGTAACAACCAATGTGATGATTCCGTTCATTGAACTACTCAACTTCCAGCCACGAGATCACCGGCTTTAACACCAATTTAAGTTAGTATAGTCTGATAATAGCATTAGCCTCCACATGGTATGTTTGTCTAATTGCCAATTAAATCAACGTGTATGTGATTAAAGGATAATATAAACCTTACCATAACACCTTACAAACAGTGACCACAGACAGATTCCTTATTCCTAATTACCAAGCTTTAAATTCACCACAATGTCTTGCGATAGCAACGAACTAACACTGAATACAATGAAGTTCATCTTGGTATCGGGATTTTCAAATTACTTAACATTAAGGCGTAACTAGTATTCACGCTAGGCGTATACCTAATATTGTTAAGCTAAATGTATCAGTTTTTAATGTAAACAAAAAACACTAACCTGATTTCTTCATTAGTTGAGAAAGTCAGTGATAAAAATTTAGAATATTTTATTTTTTCTAATTTATCATATTTTACAAGTTTGGTCTGCATAAACTGTATTGAATGGTAGTCAGCATACAGTACTAGGCACAATTTCCATGTTGCTTTTTTGGTGTTCACATGTAGCTCAAATAGAAGGTTGTAAGTGCCAAGAAATGTTACTATGCGCATTGTTTATCACTTTTATGGAGTTAACCATTACCAATCGAAACTAAACCTACCAGATCACACTTCTTAATTAAAATGTTTCTCTGACGAACAGTGCAACTTCCATGTTAACCACTAGGCAGTAATGAGAAATCGAAAACTATAAGGGAAACTGTCTGCAAACTTATTTTTGTGTTTTTCGATTGGTATGAAACTGAGTCTTATTAAACCTGCTAAGATGCATATTTAGTAGAGCAGTGGTAGTGACTACTTACGTGCAGAATACCTCGACTGGGTGATATTTTGCCCATTATCAACCACTTTGTCAGCCTGTTTTGTAATGAATGAAAAGCTTCGCTTAGCAGATTGCATTCACAATCAACTATAATTTTCAAGTGACCATAGTTGATGCGTTCACGTGGGAGTTTAAGAGTTCGTGCCTGTCTATCCAAAAATAGCTGAATAGATTTACTGTTGCTTGTATTCTGTCTATTGATATACAGAATTTGTGCTCGTAACACTAAAAAATAAACAGAGAATTGAAGTACACATATTTATCATATATAAATGATTAGTAAATGACACAACGACATAAAAATATCTTTCATTTCAAAATGTAGAGATGTGAATAAACCAGGTAGGAATAAGCGAATATTTCGTTGTAGTTCGCAAGTAGATTGTAGTATTAACTGCTCACTATATTTGAAATCAATTCCAAGAGGATCATTTGCATTTGAGACATCAGTTTTCTATCTAGCTAATAAGCTAAAAGCTCACTTCACATCGGTTTCCATTACAATCAGCCAACTAATTCGTATGTTTTTCTTATCCTCAAATCAATTCAGCGCATGACTTCAGTATATTTATTATGTGATTAGTCACAATTTAAAAAAAGAATTATTGTACATTGATGGGGTTTACAGAAAATAGACTAATTTCAAGAGAATCTTCTTTATGAACTGTTTACGAAACACTTTCATATTTTTAAATCCTAATAGTCGTGACTCTGCTAAATAAGCATTTTGCGAGAAATTCAGTTAAAGTGAGATTAGAATTCAGGTTGTGCTTAAACTAAAAACACCAGGAAATACACACGGGCCTTATATCAGCTTAACAATAAAATAAAAATATCATTTCCTAACGATTATCTTTTTAGCTGTGACTTATTGGCTATAGCATTTGAATTTTGCTAACAGATCCCAGGTTCATAATTCAATCCGTCTGCGTCAACGTGGACAATTAGGTAGTACTACTACTAGGCGTCACTGGAAAGTGTGGCTCATAGCCTGGTAAATGAGATATCTGTTCCAGATAAATCACTTCTGACTAGCTAAATATCTCAATCGACAATGTAGTTATTTAGTTGTTAAAAATTGTTATATCACAGTAAATATTTTTTGATAGACTGAGGAAGTCAGATAGTAGGCTGAAAAAGAGAAAGCCAATCAGGTCTTGTTTTCACTGTAGTCAATAACGATTTTCATGGGATGCACGGAAATTGCTTGTCGGTAGTGTGTATCGGTTGTTAGTTTTAATCCAATGATAACTAACTTACGTTATTAATAGAGACATCTGTAAATGTATAAAGCTATTTTTTTTAGAATAAAAGTAACTTCAATTAAAAATGCTTATTTGATAAAGTGTTAAAAAAATTGCAGGTAGCATTTGGAGAAAATAAAAGGAAACTGAATTTATTACTAGAGGTATTAGTTATCAGTTGGTAGACATTGAAAGTTTCTAATGATCCAGTGTTGCAATAAATATCGCATGTCAACATCTAACACAGAAACATCAGATTGTTTCACTTGATAAACTTGAATAACACAGTAGGAACAGCCTTCCTAACAAATATGGAATTGCAGTATTCTGTTTATATGTAAGTAAACGCTACATAATAGATTGGAGAATAGAAATCTACTATATATTTAATTCAACTGTATATATTCTCCTGTCGAAATTACTACCCTTTGAGGGATCCTGGTAGAGACGAAAGTATGAAGAAGATAAACTCGTAAAGCAAAATTAAGACTAATAGGAATGCGATAAATAATTTCAGGTACCCTATTACCATCAGCTTTATGCTCACTATCTACAAGGTGTGCTAAAACAGAGCTATGAATAGATCTTGTCTGTCCCTTGCTTAATCATGTTGGATGATGTTCGGAAATACGATGATGATTATCTGTCTTGGTTATTATCAAGCCCCATGACATGTTGATATCGATTAATTATTGTTAACAAACATATCTCCACTTGATTGGTAAACTGTTGTGTATTGTAATAAAAATGCTATGTATATCATATTGGAGTAGAGTCAGAGATGAGGATCTGATTAGAAAGTAAATATTTCTTCGCTCAGTCCTTTTACTTTCTGGAAGTATAATCGTTCTTACTGTATGGAGAAGGTGATATTCTCATTTCACAATTTTCAAATCTGTAGTATCGCCGGCACTCCAAACAACAAAATATCACAAGTAACGATCAGCTAATATATGATTTAAAAAATTTAACTCTAAAGCCTTTAAAAATTAAAATCAAACAAACAATCCAACAAACATAATTATGGTTGTAAATTTAAAAATCAACTTACCAACATCAGCCATACAAAAACTACTAATAGCACTCTCAAAAGTTGGTTCTTCAACACAACCAGAACAACGAAGCCCTAAAAGTTATAAAATAAATACACATTTCGTTAATATACTATGGAAACAAAATTATATACTTCTAAACCCTGTAAACATGAACAGATGTGTTGACGCTAAAGTAACGTAGAATATTTCATCAGTTTTGTTTCTTAGCACCTCGGAAATATTCCCAAAACGTCTATTTTTATTAAGGAAAAAAATCAGCATCCTAGCTAGAGGATCTGGATTTCGCAGATGACATATGTCTAATGTGACACACACTCGAAGACTTACAAGCGAACAGCAACAAAATGGCTGAAGAAGCAGCGCGGATAGGACTGCAGGTGAACATGGAGAAGAAGGAGGTGATGAAGATAGCCAACCAACATCAAAAGCGACAAAAACCACCACAAATCACCGTCAACAGGAGATATTTGAATGAGATGACTTACTTCATTTATCTAGGAAGCATCGTTTCAACTTCAGGCAGTCGGAACGGATGAAGATGTCAAAATCAGAATCGGTAAGTCGAGATATGCCTTCACCAACCTGAGACTAGTTTGGAAATCTTCTGCACTGACTCAGCATGGATAACAAGATTAGGATTTTCAACACAAATGTGAAGCCAGTCAGTTTTTCTATACTTGTCAGAAACTTGCACTGCGTGTGATGAAAAGGATTTCCGACAGATTACAGACTTTCATCAACAGCTGCCTTCGCTGGCTCCATACTGAAGATCAAATGGCCCACAGGCCAAAAAGAATAAGCAACAAGAAACTATGGGAACAAACCAACCAAGAGCCTATCGCTCAACAAATATGTAGGAGAAAATTGAGATGGATCGGACGTACATTGAGTAGGCCGTCGAATGACATCGCGCGCAATGCAGGTCGATGCTCGAGTGGAATCCAAATGAGGAACGACGAGTGGGTCGTCAGTGCGGGGATGAAATGGAGGAGATCGTGTGTTGAGAAGGAGATGACAGAGTTTGGTCAATCATGGACCCAGCTGAAGAGGACGGCAGAAAACAGAACAAAGTGGAGATGTGTTATTGAAGCCCTATGTTCCACTCGGAACTCAAGGGAACAATCATAATAATAATAATAACCCCAGCTAACCAAAACTACCTACCCAGATGGCCTAAATTCAATGTCTAAAATATAGTTAGTGCAATAATATCGCAATCTTATTTCCCTACGCAGAAATTACTTCGACAGCTGAAAACACAGTTGATATTAAGTGAATATAAGTCTAAAGTCTAATCTGTTTTTCATCTAAAGAGAAGGACATTTTATTAAAAGGCATTGATTAAAAGTACAGAATTATTAATAATGACGACCTCTTGAAATTTGATAATTGCGATGTGAAATGCTGTCAGCTTTTGAGAATAAAATAAGACCCTATCATTCACTGTGTTCATCTTGCATATACATAGCCGCTTGTTTGAAAAAGTATTCTAAATCGAAGTGTTCAGATTTATGAGTTTTCAAACGGTCTTTCAGCATTACATCATGTAAACAAAGAACTATACATTTGGCACCTTAATTCCTTTCGCCAAAACAATAAGAAGTGGTATGATAATGTGGGTGATTTTATTCAAATTCACTTCAGTTTTAATTCAGTTTAGATTTCCCCATCGATTGATGGACCAAAGTACTCGGTCTTAAGTTGACATGTCCGCTCCTTGTGCAGATGCTTCGACGATGTCTGGTCATGTTATATGAAGTCAATTGGTTGATGGTGACTAGCAGTGAAATCCAGAATGCGCATTTCGCCTTATTTGGAACTCGTCATCTAGATTTGTCTGCATCCCTAGTGAGTGCCTCAAACCCAATGCTCATAGTTTCAAACGCCAAAGTGTTATCGACTATACCACTTGGGCCACGAGAGTCACCTCTTGTGCAACGGGTCTTAATAATTATTTAATCCAATTCAGATTTTCCTGTCGATTGATTGGACTGAAGTGTTCGGTGTCAGATGGGTACTGAGGAATGCAGGCACATCCGGATGATGAGTCCCAAATAGGACGAAATGAGCATCCTGTATTCCACTGCTAGTCACCATCAACCAACTACTTATCTCAGTATTTCTAGCTATAAGTTGCGGAATCACTTCATTTTACTTTAGCATACCCTCTTAGTTTGTATTTTAGACCACAATATAAATTAGCACGTTGTTGCTGAATGGATGCAATATGAGCGTTATTTGTAGGTTACAAGTTGATGGCAGGCAATATTTCGTCTCACTGCTTGCAGAATTTTGATTGGTGAAGGTGAACATGACTTGATGAGGTGATAATAAAAAGCACTAACCAACAAAAATAAGCATATGCCCACTAATTTAAGAATTAAAACAGCAAGGTGACATGAAAACCGTTCTATTGAGTCTCTTTTTTTATTAAAACACCTCTTGTACATTGGCGCTCCTAGCCGATTAACATTTATAATGAAACTGTGTGTTAAAAAGATGACCTGCTGTTAACCTGAGGCTTTTTCAGAACAAAAATTATTACATTAACGCAAAAAAGACTGTTTAATTTCTTTTCAATCATCTAGTAACATAATATTTTACTAGATGGTTATTGTTGTGAGACATGGAAAACCTCTTGAATCGAATTGATCGTGTACAAACATATGGATGACGTTTCGAACACAATGTGGTGTTCATAGTCGCAATCGATATGATTATAAATAACACAATGTGTTCGAAACGTCATCCATCAAATTATACCTTTCCACTGTACGATGTATCCAGTAAATAAATTGATATGGCATTACATAATACCACAATGCCCAAGTTTTACACATACATTAAAGCTGCATCATAATGTATCCTATATCTAATCTACCGACGTGCCAAAACTGTATTCTTATGCAACTGTTTTTTCCTCCATCTGCATATTAACAAAGACTTTTCTAATAAAATCAAAAATAATTCACACTTTTGTTGAGTAAGTTACTGAGAATTAGTCACTTATAAAGTAAAGTGGCTGACACTAGTATCTGAAGTATTCTTGAAGTACATTGTACATAAAACTACTCTTGAAATGGTCTATTTTTATTTCCTCTACACTTGTATAAAATACAAATTATAAGCTTCTCAGTTAAAGATTAGAAATTTCTTAGGATTTTTAAAATATTTATAAGAATACAAACAAAATAATTCTGAAAATCCATCTTTACATGAACACATGGATTGACGCATATTGTAAACCTTTATCTCGTTAATTATCTTTTACCTAGGAAATGAAAATCTACGAAAAATGATTATTTCAAGTACAGATGTAGGCAGTTCATGTTATTCTAAATGTGTACGTGATAAAAGAAAATATTAGCATAAAGGTTTTCGAACAATTCTTTTGCAAAATATTATACATTTTACCTGTCAAAAGAAGGACTAGTGTTGATCTTCTTTGGAAATATTAAAAACTGGCATGGAAACGTTTTAGTATGTTATTCAGACAACTTGTTGAACTATTCATATCATTCATTTTACTGGTGAGAAATTAATTGGCGTTAAGTGACTCATTTGCACACTAGCAATTTATTTCCCATACAACCCTTCAGTAATAATTTTTAGTACTAACTTTTTTTCGTTGGTTTGATTTTCAAGTGGAACATAGGGTTACATGCTTTGAATTATCAGTAGCGGTGGTGCTATTTTTACGGGGTGGATTGCTAGCCTCTTTTTTCGGACCTGATATTGGTTGAGGAAAATTTAGTAGCATGTAGGCCTGGAATAGAACTTGAACCACCAGCGTTTCAGCTATCTGATGAAGAAATCAACTTCCACGGTGTAGACAGCCAAGAAGTATATAATCACGCACACACTTCCATGAGCACACAAAGCTTTCCTGGCATCAGTCCATCAGGTTTTCGGCTGTTGTTTTGGGCCACGTCGAAAGACTTCAGTATACTGAAGACAAGTGCCTGCTGATTGTTGGTGACATGACTTAAAATCGTAGTCAATAGGTGGAGATGCATCCACTCTTTGTTATCTCCCAGACCCGATAAGCCCTTATGGTTTTACTTGCTGCTATTCTTTCTCTCACACATTTTTCCACATTATATTTCTTTTGGATGATTTTCTCTTCTTAACCTTTGTTTAGTAGATGGAGTACAGTGACTTGAACTGCTACACTTCTATCGAGTCTGAAGCAATATGGTTGTATAGTTTTTTCTTAGATGTTGAAAATAGAAACATTTTACATAACTTTTGTTTAAAATGATTCATTGTAAAATATAAATAACTTTGGAGTATAATCTAAAATACAGCTAAAGTTTTATATAAATTAATGGTTACTTGGTGATACAGTTAACGTCCTCTGCTACAGGTTATTAATATAATCCACAGAAGCGTTCACTGCTGGAGTCGTGTCTACTATTAGAATCTGCGTACCGGTTGTAGAAACGTCTTTGGATGAGGGTGAGAGGTTCCTGCAAAATCCATAGTATACACGGTCAGTAGTGAAACAAGTAGACATTATGAACCAGAGAGAAGACGAAGCCTCGAGCAACACACTGTATTTTAGATTGTACTCCGAAGTTATGAATATTTTACAGTGAATCGTTTTGAACAAAAGTTACGCACAATGTTTCCATCTTTAACATCTAACAAAAAACTGTACAACCATATTGTTCCATACTCCACACTTCTGTGCAAAGTTCTGTGTTCAAACTCACACAGTCAGTCTGTGTGGCTGCCGAGTATTGTATCACTGAACCAATGATTCTCTTACTGCTAACAGATATCATGAATGTGAGATAAGCATAATTTTGATTGGTGTTTCTTTTTGTTGCTGTTGTTGTAATAACTATTATTACGAATAAGTAGTTTAAAAAATCTTACTGTTTGGGTATCATTTTTGATGTATATAACTGAGGGTCTCTTCAGATTGCAGTTATCGTCTTATTTAGTAATATATGATATCAAGCGAGGATAATTGTTTAGTCTCACAAAACTGTTAAAGAACATCACTGGGTATCCGCTTTTACCAATTATCTTTAAAAATGGAGACTGAATGTCCTTCCGAAAATAA